CCTCATTCCCCCGTTTGGTTGGCCGGTAATCCCATTCTCGGTAATCTTTTATTACCAACAGTGGATTTTTTTAGAGTATATTACCGGAAATGTGATTACCCATTCCCTTAGGTATTGTTGGAATACCGACGTTTTAGACTAAAATACCCTTAATTTTTTTCTCAAAAATATTATTCTTCTGTCGTTGAATAATAAAAATTCTACGAAGGTTAAATTAAAAATTTGTCCTTAAACTATTTTAGATTTACAAAAAAAGTCTAATTAAAATTTTAAATGAAGTTCAGGGGTTAAAATAAAATTTTACCCTTTAATTAAACCTATTTATCTTTTCAATTTTGTAAAAAAATTATAGAAATTTTATGAATTTATTTTTTTTAAAGAAAATATATAAATTAACTATAGTAATATTATAGTAGAATTCAACTTGTTAAAAAACAAATATATAATAAGAACAATTTGGTCAAATATACATTCCAATAATCTTTTATTCATTTAACCAAACACGGTAATCTTACATTCTTGCTAAACCAACCAAACACAAAATACAAGTAATCCTATTCCCTGGTAATATTTTATTCCCACTGATAATCTTACATTCCGTGAACCAAACGCACCCATAGGTAATACCAAATAAAAAATATTATATAATATAAATGCTATATAAAATTATAATATGTAAAAATATAATAAATAAATACTATACTATATATTAGATTGTATATACTATAAATATATAAATGTTATATGCTATTATAATATATACTATATATATATATATATATATATATATATAAACACTATATAATATACTACTATATATATAAATACTATATAATATAGTATAATAGATATTATATAGTATTATATAGAGTAAATTACAAATTTGGTAACTAGACTTTACTTTCTCCTCTATTTTACTCATTGTACTTTAAATCTTTTCAATTTTCTCACTGAACTTAATACATTGGATTTTTTTGTCACTCAATTGTTTTCTCACTAACGATGTTATAAATGGGCTTTTATATAGATGCAAAATGATATTGTTTTGGTGAAATTTTTGTTTTTTTTAAAACACTGTCGTTTTAACACCATTAAATATTTAACGACAAAGTGACTAAAAAAACCAAATGTATTAAGTTCATTGAATAAATTGAAAACTTTTAAAATTTGGTAAGCAAAATAGGAGAGATAATAAAATTTAGTAATAAAACTTATAATATACCCTATAGATAATATAAATGTTGTACTATAAACTATAACGTAAATGTAAAAGATACAAAATGATCCCGGACGAAAATAAATGTTTATATTTTTATTCATAAGTCTTTTCATAGAGAGAAAATAAAAATAAAAATTGAGAGAAAGGAAGCCAAAAATGAAAAAGAATGCCATTAAATGTAGCCCCGGGGCTCTCGGCCGGCGCCCCTGGAGAGCAGTTGGCGTGTCCCCTCTCCTAGCTTCTACGGGGATTGTAGCTTTGTCATCAAGTTATAAATTAATTCAGTCAAGTCTTTTTTTATTTTAAATTCAGTTTTTACTTTTTCACTACATTTCAATTTAGTCATCGTGCATGTTTTAATTTATTTTAATTTCAGCCTCTAATTTTTAGTTATGTTAATTTGAACCTCAAGGCATGTTTTAATTGCTTTAATTTAAATTTTTCATTCTTTTAATTTAGTCCTATATTATTATTTATCTTTTAGAATAAACATTTAGATATAGGTTTCTTTTAATTTGGTACAAATATTTAGTTTAAACTTGGTTAAATTCAGGTGAATTTTTAAATTGGCCCTCACTTTTTTTTGAGGTTCCAATTTAATTATTCAATTCAATAAAATACTAAAATTTGTTAGGTTTTAATATTAGAGCCTTCATTTTAGTTTTAATTTCACCCTAGTTAAAATTTGGTTAATTTTTAAATTGGTCCTCACTTTTGTTTGAGGTTGCAATTTAATTATTCAATTCAATATAATTCTAAAATTTGTTAGGTTTTAATATTTGAGCTTCCACTTTAGTTTTAATTTCAATTTAATCCTTTAATTTAAGTGAATTTTTAAAATGGTCATCCTCATTGCCTGATGTTCTAATTTAATTATTCAATTCAATAAAATTCTGAATTTTTTTAGGTATTAATACTAGAGCCTCCACTTTAGTTTTAATTTCACTTTAGTCATTTAATTTAGGTGAGTTTTTAAAATTCTCTTGCTATTGTTTAGGGTTTTAATTTAATTATTTTTTTGAAAGGGGTTTTGCATGATATTAATTTGAAGCCATACAAAACAAGACAAGAACATAAGCCTCGTTAAAAAAATCTTCCTAGCCTTAAATGAAGGAAAAATAGTGTACCATGTAATTGTCATACGAATAAACACTACCTTGAACTGAAAAAAAACTACGTTGAAATATACAATGCACCGATTGCCATAGATTACCGCAACTACTGATCCCAACTCCTTCGACTGACAAGATTCACTTGGAACAACATCATAGAACACACAGCTGAGCAACAACCTCAGGAACATAATCGAAGATTAGCACCAACAGCTAATGGGCCCCCTAAGATAATTCCACTCAAATGCCACAACGAGCATCACAAAGCAAAACGAGTCAGAAACACAATCCACAGAAAACTACACAACCCCAACCTAAAGCACTTGGAATGTATTATATAAGGGTGACAAACAGATCCATAATCCTTTAACAATTGTGGCCATGATCGACAATTTTACATACTGCAATACACACCAAAAGAAAGCTTCACAATCTGTAGGGGCTAGACAAATCACGCTCAAATGAATCCAGATATGAAAAGCATAAAGGACTTCATACAGACTCGAACTGAACTGCAACAAAAAACCAGCAAGAAAAAATAGCGAGGACAACAATGGTTTCGCCAACACACAGTAACAGAACCTCAAACCTTAATACACGTTCCCCTAGTAAGGAACAACCGCTTCAACACCTCCATCTTAACGCAGATATAATCACCAGTAACCATAACTCAATATAACCAAAAAACATTCAAGACCAAATAACGAACATCTCAGATACATTATGAAATCAATCTACAGGGTCACTTAATAAAATCTGTTACTAACGGAAAAGAAGAAGACAATTTACTTTTACACCAAACGCCAATCCTAAGAAATGAAAACTCGAAGATCTTATTTCGTTCGCAAGATTACTGTTATACAATGCCTCGTTTCTAAAAAGCCAAACTGACCAGATGATACCCCTAAATGCCATATTCCATACTCGTTTAAACGCTCTTTGAATCGGTTGACAGTTATAAACAATAAGGAAAAACTTCATGTCACTTGTAATGATAAAATTCAGCTTCCACATCTCACACCACTTCTTCCACACAACCCATACAATTTCGCAATCGCATAATAAGTGATTAACTTCCTCTTGTTCTTCTCGGTATAAGTCACATACCGCACTATCCAATTCGAAACGCCCCTCTCCAAAGCTCCACTAACGTGGGTAATCTTTGTTGAGCATCCTTCCAAACGAATGCTTTGACATTTAGAGACGCAATATTCGTCCACACTAATTTCAACATTTGATCTTTTACGGAACCTAAGCATGAGACATAATTGCAAAAATCCCTATAACATCTGCTCGAAGAAGCCTTCCAATATAGTCTATTCGACGACACACCAGCTTCAACTACTTTATTAATAAAAGACAATAATTCGTTCCAAATATATACTTCCGACACAAACAACGATCTCTTAAGTCTTAACCTCAATATTCCACGCACATACTCCATTTACTCTCGACCTAAACTCACAAACCTTTCCGCACTTCTTCACATCCACACTAAAAATCCGTGGAAAAGCCCTTCTAAGTGAATATACCTCCGTCCAACAATCCTCCCAAAAATCAATGCATCTCCTGTCACCAACGATGCAACGAACATTATTGAAGAAAGGGTCATTATCAACAAATAATGGCGAAGAAATATTCTTCCATATCCAAGATACACTTCTAGGTTGAATGGGTCTAGGAAACAGCGATACACTGTCAAAACCATACTTCGCATCCACCACTTTCCTCCATAAACTTTCATGTTCCTTGCCATACGTCCAACACCACTTATTCAACAAGGATCGATTCCTAGTCTCCATGTCAAAAAAACCCAGACCACCTGTCGCGGCCGTCTTTCGGGTGAGACCGAAATTGAACTTCGACTTAGGAAAATTGATTTGGAGTCCCCACCGATAATTTATTTTAAAACAAATAGGTTGATCGGATACCTTTATTTCTTACTTGATCTGCGTTTTATAAGTGATATGTCGGGTTCGAGAGTCGGTTACGGTCAAGTAAGGATTAACACCCTTGAACCGCCCTTTCGGTATCAATTAATTTGTCGGTTGTCTTTAATTGCGAAAATTTAAATTTAAATTTAAATTAAAAAAAATTCAATTCACAATAATTATCTTTGATCGTTTAGAATTACCCTAAAAAAGTAAAAAAAAAGGTTATATTGACAATAAATATTAAATAAATCGCATGGCTACTTAGGGTAAATAAGAATTAAAAATTGAACAATGGGCAAAAGTAAGCACTGAACAATGCACAAAAGTAAGCACATATTTAAGTTGCTTGACTCTGAGTTTAGGAGTACATCCACATTAGTGTACCAAGAATATGCTTAAAGCAACATATGTACAAATATAGATGATTACTCCACTGGGCACCGAATGTGCTTCCACGTGGTATAATGGCCATCCAATATGAGGATAGAGAACCTGAATTCAAACTTTATGTTGAATGACCTTTAGCAGACTTGTTTGGCTCCCAAGCGATTTGCTCTCTCTGATGTTTCCAGAGTATATATGTAGAATCGGTCAACAACATCAAGCTTTGGACAACAATTTTCCCAAATTGCAGGTCTCCATATACGAAAACATCTATTAGAAGTAACACATGAAAACACAGTAGACAATTAAAATCAAGCTAATGACCGACTTCAACCAAAATTAAATCCAAAAAAAAAAACCGATTAACGAAGCCTCCTAGCTTCCCACTCAGACTCGAGCAAAGTGAGAATATCTCCTTCACGAACTGGTCCCTTCACGTTCCTCATGATAAATCGGTTCTGGTCATCCAAAAATTTGACTCGCGCTTGAGTCAATTGACCTCGGGAACCGGTCCTTCTCATAATTTTTACCGCCACAGCAAACTTAATCTGGCTATCCATTATGATTGAACCTTGAGGAGGAGATGGATAGGGGAGCGACTGCTTTCTCTCGAAAGTTTGAACGACGAGGGCCTTCGAGGTTGCGAAGGGAGCTTATCATCCGCTGCAACCGAAACGGTGAATAGGCGCCGGTGGTGTGAGGGTGAGCATTCCTTGTCTTCTTCGACCAGTCCTTCAACACTGCTCCTTTGCTTTTCTTTGCAGTAATTTCTATGCCCATCTAGCTCACCAAGTTAATTGGAATCAAATCCTCCTCAGTACCATGCAAACAGAAAATCAAACGAGTTATAAATATATATATATTTGATATTAGTCGATTGGAACAAATGGGTATAAGAACCCCAATCAAATTGTAAACTGGGGTCCCTCTTCCCTTCAATTTTACAGAAGCAAGCGATAAAATAAACAAAATTTCCTATGGTAGAACCATCAATTTTCTGGCAGTAACATTTTCTCATTTCCTTTTTACATTCCATTGGCATCATATAAATAAAAAAGTAGAGAAGAGGGATTAGTTCTTTCACCAGTTTTTTTGTTTCTGCTCAAGAATAGAATTTGGCTCCATGGCAATTGCTTTGAACTGGCGAGAAAGTGTTACAAACTCTGGATCTTGTTCCACTTGCTCCATCTCAGCCTTAGTCATCTCCAGTGGAGATATCTTTGCAGTGCCTTAAGGTCCTCGTGTGCTAAGTTCCTCTATCTCCCCTCTGCATAAACCTTCCAGCTCCTTTTGTAGACTTGGTGAGGAGTCAATCTTGCACGTTTTGAGAGACTGTCCCAGTGGTTTTGGAGTGGGAAGTTCTGCTGTGTGGCGTTTAAAAAATGGCTAAAAAACGGTGTGACCGGTTAAACAAGTGATCGGTTAAAATTTAGACCGGTTATATTATATCATTTAACCGGAAATATTATCAAACACAATAACATATTAGGTAGCGCTTATATAATGTAATAGGTAGTACTTATATAATAAAATAGGCATTTAACCGGAAATATTATCAAGTACAATAACAAATTAGGTAGCGCTTATATAATGTAATAGGTAGTGCTTATATTGATATATTTTCTCATAAAACCGATAAATTTAAACCGGTTACATTATAAATTAACCTATTACATTATGTATATCGGTTTCGATGTTTTCGGGATCGATACAATTTTAAATATATCGACACTTTATGCGTGCAACTCGTTTGTGCTTTATTTTGGAAAAAAGTATCGACACATATTTAAAGAGTGTCGATACATAATGTAGACCTATTTGCTAATTAACCAGTATATTTTAACCGGTTACATTATAAATTTACCTGTTACATAATAATTATCGATTTCGATGTTTCGAGGATCGATACTTTTTACAAATGTATCGACACTTTAAGCGTACACCTCATTTGCCATTCCTTTTGGAAAAATGTATCGACTCAAATTAAAAAAGTGTCGATACTTTATGTTGACCTATTCTCTCATGAACCCGGTATATTTCTACCGGTTACATTGGAAATTTACCTATTACATTATAATTATCGGTCTCTATGATTTTGAGATCGATACTTGTTATAAATGTATCGACAAAAAATCTAATAGTGTCGATACTTTATGTTAACCTGTTTTATAATTAAACGGTATATGTATACTGGTTACATTGTCAATTTACCTATTACATTATAATTAATTGTCATTAAAATAGTCTAATTTTACCACCTACATTGTAATTTTACCTATTACTTTAAAGTTATTGAATTCTGTAGTTATTGTACATACCTGAATATGTCCTGCAAATTTAATGTTGTACCTACCCTTCAACTACCACCACTACCAATACCACATCCTATTGAAAGCACCACTGAAACATGTTGTTCAATGAACCTTTACTTACATACATCTCCATCAACTCCTGTTGGGACCACTGAAATTGCACAATAAAATTTTTGCCATGGATCATATTGATGCAGACAATGTTAAGCCAACGGAGGAATGCCATAAAGTACATAATGTTGATGAATCTGACATATTGGTTGGTAAGCTCTTCTCTTCACGTGATCAAGCTTGGTACTTTTACAAGGAATTCGCACGGGAACATGGGTTTAGTGCACGTGGGGGAACAACACGGCTTGACATGGAAGGGAATGTGAAGACACAAGAATTTTGTTGTTCCAAATAAGGGTTTCGAGTATCAAAAGTCAATACCGTTGATCGTCAACGTGCTCATACGCCAATCACAATAACAGGATGCAAGGCTAGAATCATAGTTACAACAACAAATACAAACGATCAGTGGGTTATAAGTAAATCTTATCAGAAACATAATCATGCATTGTGCACACCTGCTATGACACCATTTATGCGTTCTAATAGAGCTGTAAGTAAGGCTGATATCGATGAGGAAACATCATTGAAAGAGGTCGGTGTTGGCACGTCACAAGTAATGAACTATTTAACGCAGCAGGCAGGGGGCTATCATAATGTTGGATTTATACATAAAGACCTCTACAATGCACTTCAAAGAGGCAAAGCAAAGGAAATCGTCGATGGGGATGTGAATGCGCTTATTTCTTACTTTGATTATAAGAAACATGATGATCCCGGGTTTTTTGTGACATACTCGGTAGACGAATCAGGGGCGTTTCATAATCTTATTTGGTCGGATTCTACATCGAGATCAGATTACATATGCTTCAGTGATGTAATTGCGTTCGACACAACGTACAAAGATAATTTGTATGGTCGACCAATTATGCCTATTGTCGGTGTCAATCATCACCATAACACAATTGTGTTTGCTACTGCCATAATCGCTGACGAGACGTCCCAATCTTTCGAGTGGGTGCTACAGAATTTTTTAGAAGCCATGATGAACAAATCGCCTATTTCAGTTGTCACCGATGGGGATAGGGCAATACAGAGGGCTATCAAATCTGTTATCCCTAATGCTAAGCACAGATTATGTTCTTGACATATTTCTCGCAATGCACAAGCTAACATTGGTGACCCAAAATTTACAGCAGCATTCTCAAAATGCATGGTTTCCTGGTGGACAACCAACGAATTTGATATTTAATGGCGTTCAATTGTTTCAGAGTTCAACGTCGAAAAACATCCATGAGTGATTGAGAAGGGAAATACTCGACACTTATGGGCACAAGCATATCTAACCGGTCATTTCTTCGCTAATATTCTCTCAACACAAAAGTGCGAGTCTAAGAATGCTTCACTCGCAATTGCACTGAAACACAAGAAGACATATTTAGATGTTGTTCGTGCAATTGAAGATGGAATTAGTAGAATGCATCTGAACGAGTTGAAAGCGGATTACTTAAGTTCCCAAACGAAGCCCTTCATAATCACAAAACTGGTTGAATTTGAAAGTCATGCTTATGAGATTTATACGTTTGAATCTTTTCGTGCGTTCCAAGAAGAACTTCAACAGGAGACATTGTACCGGATTCAAGAAGAGATTCAGTCTTTATCAGATGAATGTTAATATTTTTATTTGAAAAAGTACAAAGAAAAAAATAGGACATTTGAAATTAGTTTTGATTCTCGTACGGAAACCCTAAATTGCTCATACAGAAAATTTGAGACAGTTGGGCTTCCATGTCGCCATCAACTTCACTTTTTGAAGCACTTGGATTACACATATTTGCCCGGGTCTTTGATTCATATTAGGTGGACTAAGGATGCGAAGGCTTCTGCACCCAGTTTTGTTGATTTGAATGTGCCTCCAGAAATAATGCAAATGGCAAGGTTTGCTTCTCTACGTGCAACAGCAAGTATGTTATGCTATGCTGCATGAAATACAGACGCGTCTTTCAAAACCGCAAGAGATGAGATGAAAAGATTAACAGAAGAATTTGAGAACTCGTTTGGTTTGAATGATTCAGTCAATCGGAGCAGTGTATTAAACAACGTTCGCGACCCTCAACGAAAACAACGCAAGCAAAAAGAAGTAACAAAGAACAAGGTCGAGAAGAAAATTAGGGGATGTGGGTTCTGCAACGGTGAGGGACATAACAAACTAACATGTCCTCAAGTCAATTTGGGTTTGAATACAAACACACAACCTACTTCAACTGATTTTTTTGAAGACGGAATGGATTGGTCATTCAGTCCCGCACATGATGTTAGAGACATTTGGAATAATGCAGACAACGATCCAACTATATCCTAAGTATTAACATGACTCCTACTGTGTATAAGAAACATGTACAACAACCTATTGTTATTGCAAATAAACCACAACATTCAATCATGTTTGAACATTACAACTATATTCGTATAAAATTAAAAACAATTCTTCAACAAGTGAATACAACTATTATATGTAATGTTCAATCATGTACTCCTTACGTTGTAGGGATTCAGTCCCTAAACCCTCAAAGAAAGCTTGTCTTACCAATTCATAGCTTACCATTTGGGCCCTGAAAGGGTGTTTTATTGGCTATGCAGTCAACATGGATTATGAGATTCCTTTATCATTTTGCATTCAGTCAGACTGTAGAGATTTGAAATTTGTAATCAATTAAAAGATCTTAAATACTTGAATCCAATTACCATTTTAAGAACAATTACATGAATACATTGATACTTACTGGTCGTTTTCGATTTTCCTCAATGTTGATACGCTGGGGCTCCATTTGAAGGTTATCACCGTCGGACTGCCTTTAGGATTTTTCAATTTGGGTTTTGTATATATAAGAAAAAAACACGCGTAATTTTAAAAAGTATCGACACTAATTTAAAAAGTGTCGATGCATTATGTAGACCTATTTTCTCATGAAATCGGAAAATTAAACCGGTTACATTGTAAAGTAACCTATTAAATTATAATTATGGGTTTTGATGTTTTTAGGATCGACACTTTTTCTAAATGTATCGACACTTTTTCGTGAACTTGTTTGGAAAATTTATTATGGACATAAAGTGTCGACACAAATGTATAAAGTATCGATACATTATGTATACCTTTTTTTTAATGACCGGTATGTTTAGACCGGTTACATTGTTATGTTAACTATTACATTATAATTATGTGTTTCGATGTTTTTGGGATCGACACTTGTTATAAATGTATCGACACT